AACAGCAGTGTGGGGGGGAGACGAATGATCAGTTGTTGAAGTATTTGAATAGTGAATATAAATTGTGTGGAAATTATCACAAATGTTGGATTGGAAATGTTCTAATCGTTTTAAAAGGAACCTTACTTCAATTAACCTAATTTCAGCAATTCCGCACTGCAGTTGTTTTACAAAAATTGACCCGACTGGATTGGGAAAAACAAAAGCATCCACACAAAACAACGCAACAGCTGCTGCAGCATCTAAGATCTAGAGGATATGACGTGAACGACATGATCGAAAGTGATAAAAAACAAAAAGCAGCTGTCAGGGAGATCCTAGCCAGACTTGAGTGAGTTATTTCTATTAGCTCAACTGTATCTAAAAATATGTGTAACAAATGTGTGGACGAATTACGATTCAAACAACAGTGTTTTGTTATTGGCATATTTTGTTGTTCATCTGAAAATCTTTGATTTGTGACATCAAAACCATCAGACCTCAACATCAAAAGCTATGACCGCTAGTAAATCACTTTAAATCAAGGGATTTGATTTCTAGTAGAGAATGGCGTGTCCCTTTATCACCAATCAAAGAATTACAAGAAAACTTGAGTTGTTGGTGCTAATTAGCTATATATTTTATATTGGTTGAAGACAAGAATTCATTTAAGAAGAAAAACATTGATTTCAGCAACATGTCTAGAGGATAAGCTAAGAACTTTGCGTATTTTATGTCTTTCTCATCCCACTTTCGCCTAGCTCTTACTGGTCTGATCCAGAAATCCACCACATTCCAGAGAAGCAAACATCATAAGCCAAGTGGTCACACGGCAATCTCTGCGCGCAGCAGTTCCATGGGCTGATCTGGTTGTCTCCGCTGGCGGTGACGGTACTTATCTGACGGCTGCAGCTGCAGTTGCAGACAAAACGCCCGTAATTGGCATCAACACAGATCCCGTTGGGTCAGTGCCCGTTCTCTACGCGAATGTTTTTTGTGAAAACTTTTGCAGTTCTGAAAAGGTTGAATTAGAGAGCAAAATGCCTAAGAAAGGGTAGATACATGTTTCTTTATAAGGTGATTTGTCTAATGTCTCTCCTTAATTCTTACACTCTTTTTTGAAGTCTTTTGTTTTCAGATCTGAAGGACATTTATGTATAGGCGGCAAAAACCCTCCTCATGATCTATTCAAACGCATTGTCGATGGGAAATTTCAGTGAGTAGATTTTCTAAATAAATAGCTAGAAAAGTACTATATGTGCTAG